AGGGACCCAAACTTCACGCTCTATTTTTGCCGTGGGGACAGTGATTTCTCTTTTCTAAGGCTTTGGAACTCTAGGCCCCAGGTGTCCACCATGCTTTTGCTGCTGAGATGACATTTTTGTGGCAGATGGTACAAATAGCCTGGCATGCCCTGTAGTAGTTGGATCACTATAAAAATAAAATTTGCTAGATGCCTGTCATGTTTGCTTGGCAGGAGCACAGAACCCCACTGACTGCTGAGAGGAAGTAAAGCTGCCCAAATAGAAATAATGGCATCTGGAGTGCTTTTGAAATGTGGCTTGCTCCATGTTGGATTTGACTCCTGCTGGCTAGGAAGCACTTTGTGACATTCCTCTGCATGACTGTGCAGGAGGAACATCACCCACATCTCTCCTCCTGATGTCAGCTGTCCTTCCCAGCCCAGGTGTGGGCACGTTCCTCTCCAGCAGGAGGTACCATTTGTTGCAGGTTGAGATCTACCCAGCCTCTGTGCAAGTGGAGGGTGCTTAACTGAGGGAACATCTCATCTCCTGTCCTCTGCTGTTCCTATTTCAGGTTCAAATCTACAATGAGGACTGTAGTACTTTGAGAAAACCACCAAAATATCACTCCAGGTGCTCTCCACTTGGAATTTTTCCAAAAGAAGCAAACATATATCAGTTTAGCTATACCAAACGAAATGGCTTATTTATTTTTCCTACCACAGCTATATTAATGCACCTTTGTCTCCCAAAGTGTAGCACTGCAGGGCAGCTGGCAATACAGATGTGCTCTGACAGCAGGAAGCATAGAGTGAGATGAAAGGTGCATTCTGCAGGTCAAGAAAGGACAAAGACAGGCATGAACCCCTGAGAGTGCAATTTCAACAAGGATTTGCTACATGGGACTTTTTTGCTTTTTCTCAGTTTCCCCATCAGAAAGAGGAGCATAAACTAATTGGTTAATATCTGCACATCTGCTCTGAGCATCCCACTGACCTGTTTTGTCAGAGTGGTGTTTCTGTAAAGGTCTCAATCTTACTACATTGCCCAGAGTTTTGAAAAGGCTTCTCAATAGTTTCCACATTCTGATGGTATCCTGGCCTTAATTGCAACCTCACAAAGGCAATCAAGGGCTGAATGTGTTCCTTCAGGAACATTCTTCTCATCTTCAGTCACATTTTATCTTGGATTTGCTTATTTATTTAAACAAATTGATTGCTACAAATCTCCAAAACTCCATGCAAATGGTAGGATAAATGAATCTCGGTAAGCAAGTCTAATTCTGGGCCAACCATAACAACAGAGTGCTGAAGACATGGATAATTTTGGCACTCCACGTGGCCAGTTCATCAGCAGGCTAACAGGTCAGTGCCAGCCTGTCATCTTAGTGCCACATGTTTGTAAGCTTTTCCACTGTTTTTTTTCATTCCTGAAATAAACTTGTTACAACTGTGACTCTCCTTCATGTCTGAAAGCAGCTAACTGCAGACATGGATCTCAGGCTCATCAGCAGTATTGTTAGTACTGCTCTTCCACAATCATGGCAGCTTTAGTGCATTCAAGTTGTTGCTGAAACTAATGTGAAATTTGAAGTAGTGTTCAACTACACTTGTAATCCAAACTCAGTTTCAGGCTAACTCACAGCATTCAAATAAGTTCTTCTCCACGCACTGTTGTGTAGTGCGCCGATATAAAAGTGGAGGTTAATTTTCTCACATTGAAGTTAGCATTCCAGAATGTAAAGCTTTCTTTTATGCACTCTCAATTTCTTCCTCTGAAATATTGGGACAAAAATGCTCTTATGTCTCAGAGCTTCTACCTACCTACTTTCTTGTATTTCTGTTTAAATTAGGCCTACCTGACAGTCTGCCTCATAATTGCCTCTAACAATGTCAGCATTCCTTGTCTCAATATATTACAGGTTTTCAAGAGAAAGCACTACCAGATGCCAGATATCCTACAACTCTGTTCATATAAATGTCCCTCTGAAAGAACATAAAATCCTTATGACACGTTGTGATTCCTCTCCAAGCCAGATGCACTGAGTATTTACCTAGATCTTTTCCTTGACATAAAATTGCAATGATAAAGAATCTTGAGAATTTATAGTCACTAGTGCTCACAAGTGAATTGGGGCAGTGTTAGCAGGAAGGAAGGCATGAGGGCAAAATGCATCAAAGCTGGTGGGTCTGAATCATGCTATTGTTCTAGAAGTGGAAAAAGCCAGACTTGATCATGGGAAGTGACAAAGAGTCAACCAAGGAGATTCTTGCTTGAGTTTTGCATAACTCTAAAGAAGAAGTCACTATCCTTGGTAAACAACTGTCATCAAAACTCAGCTCCCTGCTTGGTTAGAAATGCTTATGGAAGGTTATTTCTGAGGAAAGTCACTTACTTTCAGTCTTCCTTGCTTAGAGACACCTCAGCTTTTTCTGAACTAAGAGAGCACTTCATGCTGTCCTTTGAACAATAAATTCTCTTTGAATACTTGCAATGCCTAAAAAACACTTATGCTTTTTTTTTTTTAAGCAAAAAGAAAATCAATCTCTTTCCCATGGAGAAGGGCCAAGTACATGAGAACACATATCACACTGAACTGGTCTTGAGCATTCATGGATTTCCACATCAATGTTGTTCTCTGTCAACCAATGCATTATGTTAAAATCTGGGAAAAAGATGGATATTAAGCTTTCTATGCATCAGAGTATCTTGGTCTACACATCTCACATGAGATTTTACATCAATTTTGTTTTCTAACTTATCATAAACAAGTAAAACAGCAGTTCAAAGACATTTTACAAAAACTGAAACAAAATACTGAAAATAGAACCAGTAAATGACTGTGAGGAACTGGACAGTGCATTCCTGTTTCCTAGTTATGCATTTCAGATCTCTTTAAGATAGTCTGACTCAAAAGGCTTTGATATAAAATGTCTTTGATCTCTAGTGACTAATACTGCATATTATTAGAACTTACCCCAACATCTCTTTAATCATAACAATCTCACATCTGTTTGTTTGAAAGTTATGCCTTTCAGAATTATTCCCTAATGGAAAATCAACTAATCTTTCACCAGCATTTAATTGGTGGATGCCCTGTTCAATTGTGCTAAATCATTTAATCTCTGTGTACTGCTCTTTAAAACAATTTTAATAATACCATATTTCTGCCATTCTATTTTTACCTCACAAGTGGGAAGCTCTGTGGGCAAAACTGCATTTTATTGTGAGCACAAAATGTTCCTCAGAAAATGATACTTAGAAAGGAGCTGGGATCATCAGGTGCTTTATAAGTCACAAGGACAACAAAGGATAGATAAAAACTGGCAGACCTGAACAAGGTGCCCTCCCTCTTCGAATGGCTAGACCAGTACAGAGGACTCTGGGAATTAATTAAGTTATTTGGATTGCAGACCATTCTGTTCTACACCCTCACCCCAACTGTGATGGCATGACACCACGTAACTGGGATAATCATGCAAGCAGTTGTGCTAACAGTGTTACTGAATCAGTAATTCCTAGTGGCAGTTATGAATCATTCATTCCTTGAGAAGTCTTTGCTGCAGCTCAGTGGGATAGCCCTGATTATGCTGAGCTGCAAGCTCACTTTTCTATCTATCTGCAAGACCCTCTGAGCTGCCATCACAAGCACAGGCAGCTCATCCTGCAGCAGCAACTACCTCAGGGCTGGGCTACCATCTAAAATAAGACCAAATCTATCATTCAAACCAATTAACAGGAGCCTGAGACCTGGCCCGCTAGTCAATGCATCCACACCAACCAAGCTGACAAAAACCCTCCAGCTGTACCACAGAGGACACTGCACTTGTTAGTAGCACACTGTGATAAATGTGACACTACGACTCCTACTGTCCCACTGCAGCTCTTCTTCAGTTGTTAATTTACATTGTTAGGATGGTGTCTGTAAAAAGCTGAGGATGTGCCTGAGAGTATAAATTTGACAGACAATCAGTATAAATTACTTCAAATGTATGGTCTGTAAATTATTTATATTATAGATTCATTATTTATCAGCTGGGAGTTTTCCAGAGCAGAGCTTTGTCGCTGCCTCTATAGGTTCCTCCCTGACAGTAGCACACCAAATAAAGCAGTAAAATCATATTTCCCATGCTCATAGCAGTGCTGGCTGTTTGCCTGCTAAGACCCAGCAGAGGGTTGGCTTTGCCTGGTGCTGAGCTTTGGAGAGGAAGTCCTTTGGGAGGCACAAGCCAGCACTTCACCTGCAAGGAGCAATGCTGCCATCTCTGAGGAAATCTCTAGGCATCACACAGCATTATGAAGGCAAGAACATGTTTGGTGAGAAAAGTGGTATGTTTATCATGAAACTTCATTTCAAAGCAGAGATGAGAGTCAAGTAGAAAGCCTTGGTCACGTTCTGGCTTCAAAGAAGTAAATCTGCTTAACAACTCTTTGGACAAAGGAACCGAGCATAGAGAAACTATACATAAGGGGTTCACTGTCTAAAGCCTCCATTGCTTTCTCACACTTCTACACAAGTCTTCACTTGGCAAGGAGGTGGAGAAAGAGTAGCAGAGAGGCACTTGAAAAGCTGGCAGAGCAAATGGTTGGGCCCAGCTGGCAGCAGTTTGCTTCATAGGGAGTCCAAGCTTGGCTGTTCAAATTCTGCAAGTCTACTTAGCAAAAGCCTTAACAGCCACATCTCAGCTTTCTTGGTCTTGAAAATGAATCATCAAACCGAGGCTGGTCTGTGCTATGTTTTCCAGTGCTTTTCCTGCCTACTACTTTAAGAAATAGTACTAAAAGGGCAATAATAACATACAGTACTTCAGGACTCCCACCTACCACAGAGCTGTATGCTCCATTCAGTTCCCAAATGTTTTAGAAAACATACATAGTCCAGAAGGATTAATACAACATCCCAGCAAACAAGCTGTGGATTAAATCTAAATGGGACCAATATGAGCCCAGTTCCAATCACATACTGATGTGGTGTGTATTTATGTTCTGTTTCCAGCAGTTACTCCTTTGCTTAATCTCACCTTCAGAGGCACCACTTGCATCAGAATGGCGAAGTTAGTGAGGTGGTTACAAAGACACACAGAGTAGTTGAGGTCCCCGCTCTCACGCACACAACCTTCGTTAGACCAAATACCAGTTCCATTGCTGCAAAGCACACAAAAACGGCACAGTCTCTATCAAAATGCATCTTATTGAGGTTAGTTTGACATGTATTGTACTGTACAGGAGATATAAAATTTGAAAGCCATTGTGGGCTTGTGTGCTCATAAACACTCTTAGTGTCCTCTCAATTCCACCATGAAAATAAATAAGGAAAATATTGACCAAGAGGGCCTAAATCATACCCCTATCTGAATGTCACTAGAGATTACTTTCCAGTTTTATAACTAATGAATAGCTACATTTCTTCATAACATTGTGCAACTCACTTATGGCATTTTCTCTAGACACAGATTTCTGTATTTTGAGAACTATCATATCAGACAAGTCAATAATCTTGCAGAGACTCAAAGCATATTGTATCTTCTGTCTTTCTCTTATTCAGTGTCCCACTTGTCCTAACAAAGTAAGTAATTTAGACTGATTGAGCATGATTTCTAGTGAGCTGCCCATGCCAATCGTTTTTCATCATTTCAACCTCTGGGACAATGAGAGCAGCTCCTGCTCCACCGAGGATATGGCTGGCCTGGCCGCATGGCTCAGTCCCAAGGCAGCAAGGGATGTGATGCTCATAGTTTGCTTCCTGGAGCCAGGGAAAACCTGGAAAGCCTTGTGCTGACACAGCCCTGCCAGGAGTCCTGTGACAGAGCGGGAACATAGAAGCTGCATCTTGGTGGAGTTCTGGGCAACGTAGGTCACTGCACTGTTTTTAACTGTTTATTATTTTTTATATTATTTTGGGTCCTGAAGCTAGACTGAGTGATGAATATTTTCATCGGAGCTTATTTTACAATAGATAAAATAATCATCTTTCAGTCTGTCCTATGGGACCTCCTTGAATTCTCAAAGGGAGCCTTCTGCACATTAGGAATTGCCTATTCTTTAACTACCATCCATCAGGGAATAGGAATATCTTGACACAAATGAAACTCATTTGAAAGGATAGACTTTGTATTTCAGTTTCTATCCCAAGACACAGCCTCAAGGGCCCAAGCCTCAGTGGAAAACCACACAGGGACAATGCCCCAGCCAAATTAATTTGCTTCAGTAAAATCTGTTTTGAATTTATTGTAATTCCTGAGTAACCATAACGACAATTAACTGCTAACAGCTGGGACAGTTCAACATCCTTGAAACAAAACGTTAATAAAACAATTACAGTGACCTTCCCGTGTGCATGCTGGATAGGACAGATCACAGCATTGCAATCCTTTGCTACACCAATTAAGCTTATATCATTACAGCACAAAAAATATTAATCCCCATAAATTTCAAGATTCAGAAAACACTTTTTGTGTTTTAACTCAACAGGAGCAACATGCTCAGAAATCGAAAACAGGATAAATAGATTCAGAGCTAAAAAAATAAAAAATAAAAGCTGTTGCTTTTCCATAGATCCCATTTTCTGAGTGACATTTTATTTATTTACCTTTCCTTTTCATTTGCATTCAGGGGCATAACGTTTCTTCATTGCATGCATTGGCCAAAATTCACAGCTCTTAAATACTGATCTCACATGGCATTGTGAAACAGGCAGAGATCCAGTGAAACCAATGGCTCTGCTGGAGGCTTGCCATCTGAAAACATCCAAGTGTCTGCCCAAATGGGTATATGCATAAACCATCTTAAGCAGGATCAGTATCAGTCTGCATTTTAGTTTTGATTCCATATTTTTCAAGCTCTCAATCCCCAACTTAACACAGGGTCAGTGAAAAAAACCAAGTCCTAGTTATAGTAAAAAGCCACTGTGAGATTGTATATGTTGTAAACCAGTGCCTTCATTACTTTAACTGCTTCTATAAATGAAAGAAATCAAGAAGAAGATAGGCAACATAAAGCATCACAAATGACATGCTCTTTGATTTAGCCAGGTTAAAGAGCTTAACTTGTATCACATACCTGTAGTCCAGAAATGCACAGTAAAGATGGACTCTGTTACTCTTGTTCAGTGCTAGGCTGTATTGTCTGGGAGCCTGCAAGAAGGAAAAAAAATAAGCCCTGAAGGAATGTTTTAAAAGAACCAAATTCCAGTATTCAACTTGTTCAAATTCTTATTGTTCTAGTAACTGCATTTTCCAGATTAACCCACCATAATGAAAGGAAATTTTTTCAGTCCTCATGGCTTTAGCACAAACCCCATACATGCAAGGGCTGCTGTTGTCTAGAGTTTAGACAGGATTAAATTCATGTCACTTGGAGTCAGAAATTGATGTCCAATTTAAATAATAGCAAAACAGGCTTCCCTGTTGTACATAAGCAAAGTACAAATGTGTGTGTCATTTTTACAGCATGTATTTCACTTCACTGGGTTTTGTCCTCTCTAATAAAAATCTCACATTGTAAGATGAATAACACTGAAGTACGTTCAATTCAGTGACCAACTCACAGACATTTTCTTTCCACAATACCAATTATTTTTAAATATACAATCAAACTGAAGGAGCAATGCTGTAATCCAAGATCTTATTTTAATAGACTTTCGCATTATGACAACATAAATTTTATCTTTCACAAATAGATTTGGCAACACTCAATCTCATCCATTCAGAAAGGATGGAGCCCTCATTCTCAACTGTTACATCACTTTCATGTCAAAATCATTCAAACAATATTGGGATGAATTAGTCGTTTGTAACAGATAAGACATGCAAACAAGAGGTTTCCAGGATCTGTTCTACCCTTTTTAATATAAAAATCCCCCAAGTCTACTCTGTGTTTAATCCTATCTTAGGACTGTTTCATTTTATTACAAGCATCTTCAACATAAATCCCTGCTGAATTAATAGACCTCATATCATTATAGCACAAGGTCAATACTGCTGTGAAACTGGAACACAATCAAGAATTCTTCTCCTTGTTTTAGAGAAGAAAAACAACAAAACAAACAAAAACCCAACCTGCTGAAACTTGTGCAAGTACAAGAAGTCTTTGAAGCAATTTTCTTTCTCCTCTCCCACAAACCCAAGATCATATGTCAGGCACAAGGTAGCACAGCAGCCTCCTTACTATTCATTATGAAGCTTTTCTGCCCAGCCCAGGGCATTCATGCTAGAATTCCACACACTCCAGGTAGCTGTGCTGTAGATAAAGCCATTTATTTCTTCTTAATTTACCTCTGGGTAACGTAAATGGAATTTTCTTATCTACTTAAGCAACATCTCTGAGTAAAACTTCTAATTCCCTAACTGACCCTGGTTTTCCTAAGATTTCATAGGAGAAACAGCTGAGATTGCAGGTCAAGTACTCCCAGAAGCTGAGCTTTGAGATGACAGACTGTCACCAATCTGCTGAGGGTCTTTGTTTTCCTCTTGCCACATCCTATGGCCTCCTTCCATGACAGGAGCAAATTAAATGGTAAAACTGAAAGTGTATGAAACCAAAACTGAATGCAATCAGATAGAGGAAGAAAAGCTGGCTGCTCCTTGTCTCTCTCCTCCATGCTCAGAACACAAATTGACCCTGTTGCATTTTAGGAAGTTTCTGTATTTGATCCTATGTGTAATTCCAGCAGTGTGGTCTGATGACTAAGTGCCCTGACAAGGCACAATCCCACCTTTTGCTTCTCAGAGCATTTCCGAGGAGTTCAGAACCTGCAGACAACTAATGATCCATAACCCACAGCTGGAAAAATGCCTTCTGCAACTTCAGTTAACAGCGAGTTGTGTTGGCAAAGTTCACTTTGTTTTACCAGCTGAAAAGGCACGTAGCATAACGCTTGCCTGTTGTGCTGTACAGCTTTATGTCTGTCGTGACATAGCTTTCTTAAGTGTGTAACTGAAAGCATTCATAGTCAGCTTGTATTACGAATTACTTCACTTTTATGACAGACAGATGAGCGGCAGTTTAATAAAAAAGAGAAAAGAAAGATCTGCTGTAATAACAAAGATTTTACAATAAGTGTCACTTCTGACTTGTAAAATATCTCTATATAAATCTCGATTCTTAATATGCGAAACGAAAAGGGCACCGCTGGGTCAGGTTGAAATCAGACGTAGTACTTCAGTTGTGTAGCTTTTCACACAAATAAATCCCAGATGTATGTTTTCTCCTCAATGTCTCTGGCAAGGGACAAATTACTGTTTTTCTCCATCTTTGACTCTAAACACAGATGTCACCAATTAGACAAAGAAGCACACCAGGGGAGGCTGGTCGGACTGTCCAGAACTGTGTGCAAACTCGCATGGACAAAAACTAGATATCCAACACGCATACAGGAAGAACCCACACTACTTTGTCTGTTAATTCTCTTAAAGAATATGTTGTCTTGTTTTGACACACACAACCAGGCCTCACCAGTCCTTCTCCTGATAATTGCATAGCAGTCCTCTTCTTGGACTTACAGGACTACTGGTCTGCAACAAAACTATCAGCAGAATAGAAACTCACACAGCCTATAAGAAACTGGCTACAACAGGGAATAAGCGGATTTTCAGCAGCTCTAAAGGACTCTGTAATCTTTGAAAAAACAAACTGTGTCTCAATACTGCATCTCTAAAGTTAAACTGTGTGTGACGGCTTATACTTGACTTGGATCCTGCGGCAAGGGGAATATTGATTTAATATCATTGATAACAAAGAACTTAATATGGAAGTAGGCTTTTGCACTAAGAGATTAAGTCAGTGGAATGCTTATAAAAGCCTGTGAAAGGACAGTTTGTGCATCTTTTAGTGGTATAGAGAGGGAAAGTACTGGTACACTATGTAAAATAGGGTCTGTGCATCAGTTCTCCATCATTTCAGTTCTTTATATAAATTCTTCTGCATGAAGAGGGTTACATGCTGCAAGATCAAAAAAGAATTACATTAAATAAAGCAAGTGTCAGGATGGTGGCAAGCAATAGCCAGGAACAGAACCCATACTGCTGAGAAGCTCAGTGCAGACTTTGTTTCTGTGATGGACCTGGTAGCTTGGGGAAGTACTGTCTCTATTTACACCCCCAGCAGAAATACAGCTGTTCTGCATACCCTACACTAACCACTGACTCTCAGTAAGTTAGTAAGATTTACATGCCAGCCACAGAAACTCGCTGTATGTGTTGAGGATATATAGAGTATTTGCATGGTGGCGATACAGTCATTAAACAGCTGGGAACTAGGCACAGGTCCATGGCTGGGGGAGGATGAGGCCAAAAAAGGAGGGCAGGGGACTGAAAGGACTGCTGGAAACCTTCAGAAAAACCTAGTTGCAGGAAATGTCATGAACAGAATTGCAGAAGAAAAACAGTCAGCCAGCTGCTGCTGGGGAGTCTTGCCAAGGAGGAGAAGCCAAGCAGAGGGTGGGGTGAACCTTTGTGAGATTAGCTTTTTTCTCCTCTCCTCCCCTGAATTTAAAAAGCAAACAAATTCTTAGTGGCCACCAAGGGAGGAGGGTGTGCACTTTCTAATTCAGTATGTATTTTTCTCAAATGTGAAGAAGGAGAACTCATTGGGGTAGTTCTGCCAGTCATCTAAACGCAGTAGCTCCAAGCCCAGAGGTTAGGTGTTAGACTTGCTCTTCTCCAAACACTGATAATTTATTCTAAGTATAAATTTGGAAGTCACTTGACTTTGTTCAGAATTCTGCCTAATTCAGAGATTTTTGAAATCTTGTCATCTCAACATCCAAACACAACGGATTGTATTGAAGGTGTTGAGAGAGGGCTCCAGTACTGACAGACCACTTGTTTTTCGCACACTTCACAGCCCCACTGAAATATTCTTACAGGTCTGTGAGACAGAAGCTTATTGATTCCTGTTTATGGATTAAATTAGAGTCTAAGCTACTAATTAGAGGATTTCTAACTGTTCACATCCTAATTGCTCACATGATCTATCCAGGACCACATGATCTACTGACTTTCCCAATTATACAAACTACTTCTAAGTACCTACAGAACTAAAACTTTAAGGTACATCCATCTACTTCGTTCCATGGAAAAAGACAGACAGGCAAAGAAAGAAAGAAGCAACCACCTATTTTTATGTTGGCTGTATTTTTCCAAGTTGTGAGGATACTGCGTTGCAACTGACTTAGATCACTCAACTATTTTAATTTAGAGTTTTTTGGACTGATTCACACCGAGATGTAACTAGCACACATAATGATAATATTGTTACAAACTGTAAAAAAAAAAAAAGAATTTATTTTATCAACAGGGAATTAGAAAGTGTTGTACATAAAATCCAGACCTTTAGTTGATGTAAATCAACCATGTTCCGTTGTAGCCAACAGATCTATGTGAGCATATGCTTGCTGAAGTGATGTAGTAAAACACTGTAGGACACAGGGTCAACGTGAAAGCTCTCAGAATGTATTTCTTAATGGTGCAGACATGCAGTTAAAAATAAATTTAAAAATAAATAAATAACAGAAAAAGTGACACAAAAAGTGGAAGGCTATGGCAGAGAATAATATAAAGGAAAAAAAGCACAGTTAAATATCAGATCCTATGAAGGCATATGAAATTAAAACAGGTTGCCATATATAACTGAATATGAATTGGCTTTGAGTCTTCCTCTGCCTGAGGTTAAGAATAGTCAGCATTTCAATTTCCTGCAAAAATATTGTTAATCAAACACTACTGCAGTATTTTCCCCCAGCTCTCAGAGTTCTCCATTTGACAGCTGCTTTTTCAGGCAAGCAGTGTGAAAACAACAAATATAATTTTAAAAGCCCTGTGAGCAACAGACTAAAAAATCTTGGCTTCTTTATTCGATAGCATTTTTTATAAAGAGGAAAAGAAAATGAGGAGGGAATGGACAAGGACATTGTCTTGGTACTCTTTCTCTGTTACTGTGTATAACAAAAAAAGTTGGATTACTCCTGTGTGGACAGTATCAGAAGATCTTGCTATTTTTCTTTGAGTAGCAACTCTGCATCTCTTTAAATAAAAATGCCATCCTCTTTACAGCATCCCATCTTTCTGATGGCACTGAACAAGGGGCTTCATCGAACAGCTGCCAAGACAACATCCAAACACTTTGCACATCTCAT